TCACTCTGATGAACATTTGACCCATTTGACTGGACAATAACCCTCAGTGCAATACCTTGTAAATATACATTGTACAGATTATACAGATTCATACAGGTCTCTAGTTTTAAGTACTCTGTTTTATTCCTATTTATCTTGTTTCACAATGAGAATTGTTTACTGTCTGTTTATACTGCTTATTTTGAATTGTTTGCATTGTTTGTTGCTTGTTAATACTGCTTATTTTGTCATTCTAGCATTATGTTGGTTTACTGTTTACTTGCCGCTTGCATGGGGATATGTACAGTATATACACGTGCATGAGAGCCGATGTACCAGGGTCAAATTCCTCGTGTGTCCGACAAACCTGGCCAATAAAGCTGATTCTGATTCTGAATAAAAACAGGCAAAAGTGACTTTAATCTTAAGAAATGTTGCATTCTTACTGATAGTACTGTACTGGGCACAGTATGCCTGACAAACAGCAATCATTTAAAATAGTTCAACAATAAAGATTCATTTTTCAATAACAACATGGAGTGTAAATTCTCAGCTCCATTTGTGTTATACTGTAAGCTGAGAAATGTGTAAATGACCAACAGGGCCAACAGCCCAGTCCACTTCCAGTGTTTTAGTCCTGTGAACTCATGAACAAATCATGTTTTCTAGTGATATCCCAGCTCTTGGGTAGACTCTCTCTTTAGTAGACAGAGTCAGAGACATAGAAAGCTGTTATGTAAAGTGTCCCCAACACTACAGCCAAGCTGAGTGTCTCTCCTTGAACAAAGCCGTGGTATTGCTCTGTCCTCTGCTCCTGAAGTAAAACAACAGGTCTTAGTGAGACAATAACCTTAGTGTAAGCCTGTGTTGCTTATCTTGTACTTCCATATGTACCTCTAGGGCCTGTACGGCCTGAGTGCTGGTACTCACGACAGTTGAAGAAGAATTCCGTGGAAGCACCAGGAGTTAGTGGACTGTAAACAAAACAGAAAGCTTGCATCGACATCTTGTGCATGCACAGCTGACTAACTAATGCACTTTGCTAACTTCAGATGCTGTAAAAAGCTATGGTGAGGCAACATTTTTAACAAATATCATGTGTTTTGTAATGAAGAAATATGCCACCAAGTGCAGCGATGTGTTTCACTGGTGTGTTTTTGATCATTTTTGAACACCAATGAGGGTCTGTGGCACAGATGAATACACTAATCCAGGCTGGAGACAGACAGACATTAACCATGAGTAGAGACAATTCATTACTGGTTTTAGTATCTGTATGGGGAGTGTTTGTATATAAAATGACCACCCTTATCTTCTAAAATCATACAACGTGCTCAAATTAAGTAACTGGGTGAAAAGGTCTCTTGTTTCTGGTATTACAATTACTATTATGTGATTAAAGAGCAAAAACTACTAGATATGTATGGACGGCATCATATACAGCACTGAGCAGTTACTGCCAGCTCATTCAGGTGCACCCACAGTATCCTCAGTAGATCATGCACCTGATCAGGGTGGGTGTGTTTGTCTATCTATCAAAGCAGGCCTCACAACTGGCCCACAGAGGCAAAGGATATTCATTGTATTTAACTCTACATGAGTTAGCTGCATGTCAAAACAATTGTGCTGTGTTAAGAATGGCAAATTTCAGCAATGTCAAAGATCTACACTCTGCTCTGGGCATCTAATAGTGTCACTAATGGTTTAACATTGGGGTCAAGTGAACACACATGCACCAAAGGTACATTCTGTGAGACACCAGCAGGTTTGACAAAATGTCAGTATCCGACCACTTGGGAATGAAAAAGGGTTTTACAGAAAACAGCCTCAGAAGAAAACAACTGCACTGTAGATATCAGTGTTTACTAATGTTAAAGGTTTGCATATATCATTAATATTTATAAACACAACACCTAGAATCAGCTGGCAAACACCAAGCGATAATTTTTCATATGCATGCAATTTGAGCATGGAAAAGATGGTTGACAGGCCATGAAGCAGTTAATATATCGTTTAACGTTCTGCGTGTTGGGATGTCGTGTAATTTCAGGACTGTGTGTTAAAGTCAGACTTCGCTGTCTGTTTTCATACAAACCTTCTAATGACGTGAGGCAGGAATTAAGCTGTTAGACGTGACTCAAACTAGCAACACACACGTTCTCTGTGTTAATGCTGAACCACACACACACACACACAGAGGAGGAGAAACGAAGAAACCATGTTGTTATGGTTAGAGTGCATCACAGTGACACCCTGTAACCCCAAAGGAATGATGTCACATGGTCTCCACCCGGGTGTGCGTGATGGTGAGGTCAACAGACAGAAATTCCAACATACTAACAGGTGTGTGTGTGTGTGTGTGTGTTTAAGGTCCGTGGTTATTTAAGTGTTTTCTAACTGTGGCTCGTGAGTATCTAAACTTAGTGAGATAACATTGCTTTGTGCAAATCACTGATTCTTGATTGGAACTTCTCACATCAGCAGATGCTTTTCATAAATAACAAAATTAGAATCTTTGAGTTTTTTTTTTATTAGTCAGCGTAGCTCTAGCCCACACCTCCCATATGTTTCATTGATCATGCTCCATTTATATGGAAGTAAATGTGTACAAATTTGAAAGTGCAGAATCAAATTTGAGAGTGTAACCCCAGTCGTGCATGTGGTCGCTTCTGAGTCTGCGCTCTCAGATTTCTCCACTGAGGTTTGTGTGAAAGTCTGTCTGTGCCAAAAGTTTTGAAAGTGGAGAAAAGTTGTGAGCAAATCAGAATCTAACAGTGCACGGGCACAGATTTGTAAGAGCAGAGAGACAGATTTAAGGGGGGGGGGGGCCTAACAGATGATTTCAGTGAACAGAGCAGCAATCCTAAAGGTGAATCCTAATTCCAATAATTGTATCCACATTTCCCTCACTTGTGTCTTAGTCCTGCCCATGTAAGATGCAAGGAGAAACTACGAGGACAGAGAAACAAGGAAACACATTTTAACTGACATGAGATGTCCAATCCTTCATGCGTTTCATTCATTCACAAACTGACTTCCAGTAAAAGGGGTGTGTCAATCCATAACAGACTTTCGTGAAGGATGCACTCGTGTATCCTCGGTTATAGCTCCTCCAGGCTCTGGGACATCTTTCATCATGGTGGACCGGAACAAATTCTAGGTTGATTGAGGAAAATAAGGGAATTGGGATTCACCTAGAGACACATGGAAAAGACCCAAGTGAGGGAAACAATAGCCCAGAAACGCCCTATGAGTGAAGATACATGAGATGATCTTTCTCAGAAGTCTTTTTTGGACCAGCACATCCCTTGGTGATTGGACGCTTCAGATGAAGTATTGGAGGAAAGGATGTCTCATTCTCAATAAACATGGTTCCTTGAGTCCTCTCTTCTCACATCTTGTGTGTCCAGGACCGTCTCATTCTCAATAAACATGGTTCCTTAAGTCCTCTCTTCTCACATCTTGTGTGTTCAGGACCAAGACACAAGTAAGGGAAATGTGGATGCAATTAAGGGAATTGGGACTTACCCTTAATGTGCTTGAGACCATCAGCTGTGTTGTGGCGAGTGTCCTATAGCATCGGTATTACTGTAAGATATGAACATCAGTCAATCTAAAGAAATTCAAGAACTCAAATCATCTGGCTTCCACAATCACCAGACCTAAACCCAACTGAGATGGTCTGGGACAGGCTGGACCACAGAGGAAAGGAAAGCAGCCAACAAATGCTCAGCACATGTGGGAACCTTAAAACTGATGGGAGCGCTTTCCAGGTGACGACCTCATTAAGCTGCTTGATAGAATGTCGAGTGTGCACAGCTATATTAAAGCAGAAAAAGCTAAATTTAAAACATTTTTGACTAAATTTTTGCTATCTTACTGCATAATTTTATATTATTTCATAGTTTGAGGTCTTTAAATATAGAATGTAGAAAATAATATAAACAGAATATTTACACACACATGCATACGTCTATACATTACTAATTACTAATTAGTGCACACACATTTGGTAATTTAAATGCACAGATTAAATAGTTATAAAATCTGGATTACTAATCAGTGCCAATGTATAATAACTCTGGAACAACTTAATTTAAGTGCATGAATTATGCTGTTCTAATGCACAAATAATAATAAAACAATTCAGTCTGGAAGTCAATCTCAGAGAATTGGAATTAATTGATTATTAATATCTTATGTATGCCATTTCACTATAATTTCTTCTTTTTTTTTTACTTCAATCATAGTTTGACATGTGTTCTGCTATCCTCAGCAGCACTGTCGCTGTTCCATCCACCCGCTCCCCGTGATTCTTTTCTTCAGCTCCCTGCTCAAAGTTACAAAAGGATTCCTCCCCCAATCTTTTTCATCCCCCTGAGGTGGGGTTTTGGTCTTTTTGAAGAAGCAGCAGATACTGGCAGAGAGATCAGACCATGTTATAGATCTGATAGACACTGCCGGGCAGATTTTAGATTCATGGCCTTGTTTATATTTATATACATTGTCATGTCTGTCCTGCTAAACTCCATTTACGGCGAGTCCTCAGCTCAGTGCTGCAGGCTGAATCCTGTGAGCCCAGACTGAAGAGGATGAAAGGTGAAGCTATGTTTCTAACTGGATCAGAGGACAAATAGAAGAAAACAATCTGATGTGCACACACTGTTCACGTCTAACCTGTGGGGCTGATTTCCCCCTAAATGCAACTTTAAGCGGCACTAGCCTTCCATGTTATGACAAAAATATTTGCTCAGTATCTCATTTTTGTTACACTAGATACTAAGCAAAAAAAAATAAATAAATAAAAATTCTCATGGTGGCAGCAATACAGTGCCACCATGTCACTGAGTGTCACAAATCTCATTTATGCTCATATCTGAACACATGAATAATGAACTATATAGATTATGTACATACACACACGAGTACATTTTAATGTGTATAAACAAAATGTATTCATAGCCTACTTTTTAAAGAATTTTTAATGATCTTTTACAATATTTTTTTTTCTTTTAGGGTTAGTGTATTTCAAATTCATGTAATTTGTTCACGTCAAACATTCCAGCATGTTAAAGGTTTACATATTGTAATCGGGAAAAGAAAAAAAAAAATCTAATCTTGATAATGACCGGTAAAAGTAAATTAATAAGTCACTGTCTCCATATAAAAAGTACTTTGTATATAAACCAGCATTACTTTTATTTCTGGTTGCTGGTGGCAGCAGCAGAGCATGCTGGGAGAAGAACATTATCCAGGTACTGTTTAATCATAACAGTCAGACTGCAGCCCAAGGACTGTTACAGTTCATACAGGACAACCTTGACACTGCGCCGGGGGGAAGGAACTTCATTCCAAACACATCCACCTGGATCAGATTCAGCCCCATGGAGGTCTGTTATTAAAGGAGGCTCGAGGTCACTGAGGAGGTGACATCCTACAGCGTCCATTACAGCCACATTATGAGGGTGACGGACAGAACAGACAACATACTGATGATTGAACTATTCTTAGTCTTGATGCCAGAAAGCGGCCATGGGGTCATGACAACTAATAGTGCTCATCCTCTGGGGAACCAGAACTGTAATGTTTGTTTTGTTAAATCTCCAATATATCCACATTGTTAGAGAACAGATGTTCAGACCATATCACTGGTTCTCAACCAGAGGGCTGTTATGCCTCAAAGTGGAGTCACAAGATAATCAAAGAGATACAAAGATAGATTTTTCAGTTTTTTCCCTCAAATTTTTGCCTTTTCTTTTCAACTCCTAATACCTTCTGCCTATCTAATGTGGGTTTAAGGAGAGTGCATACCTAGCACACCATCTACTTACTTGATGCAGTGTGATCGGTGGTCAGGACATCAAGACAGAATCCCGGGACTTATCTGCTGATTTGACATACAGCTCTCTAGCACCACCTGCTGGCAAACCGTTTAACCAACTTGAATCAAAATGAAATACATGCAATAATTCACAACCAGTGGTGCCCGTTGCGGAGTCTGACAGGCAGTCGGGGAAGAAAGCTGCACACGCATTCTTTTTATCTTCAATACTGGTAATAAGCAAATGTGCATGGTACGATAACTATCAATTTTCATATTGTAAAACCAGTATACCGCTGTGACCCTATGAGCAGGTACAGCTGCAAAAAAGCTACAAACTGTCACTTATCATCTCAGTAAGTGGAAAAGACAGAGGCACTGGTTTGGCTTTAAATTTAATGCACTCAAGCAACATACAACCTTAGTTATGATTGTGTCACTTTTTTCCCCTTTTAGGAAGAAATATTCAATTAAACAACATATAGGTTAAAGGCATCCCCAAATCTTACACCAGGCTCTTTAAAGGAATAGTTCCACATTTTTAAACATACTAATTAGTTTTCTTTCTGAGAATGACACCAAAATATTAATTCAATATTCATCTCATGCCTGTATTTTAAACTCAAAGCTGGAATCAGGACATAGCTTCTCTTAAATACTGAAAACAGGAGGAACCAGCTAGCTTGGCTCTAGCTGAAGCTCACTAATTCACTCAGTGCATCATATCTGTTTAAACCTTACACAACAGCAAAATTGCAGATAAACAGAAGTTTACCCATCTGCCTGGTACTTTGGTGCAGCATCTCTGAGTCACTGCATGTATCCATTGTTTGTCAAGAAATAGCTTCAGCATGAAATGCCATCTAAGGTCAAACCCAAAAATGTTAGAACTATTCATTTACATTGGGGTGACTTAGAAGTCACTTTCACTGCAGCCCAAAAAGTAAACATGAAAAAGAGAGAGATGCACAAAGTTTGCTGCATCCACCAAACAGACTGGAGTTTTCCACATTCTGCATTTGCATTCCCAAACAAGCCTTCTGCTCTCAGCTCGGGGGGTTGCAGTCTTGCTCAGCAGCACTACCTGGCTGCTGCTGCAGATTTAAATCTGCCAGCCAGTTTGACCACAGTCATTTTCCCCTCCTCTCCTCCCTTGTCACTCAATACCTTTGGGTGTGTGGTAGAGGTGTTTGGGTAAAATCACGTATCCCTCACCAAACGCTGCAGCTGGCTCACAACCGCTCCCGGCCACCTCACAGGTGGCCTTCAGCCTCTTCAGCTGCCTCTCCTGACGTCGACACTTCTGCTGTGTCGTTTTCAGCTTCTTCCTCAGACACTCCACCTGCTCCTCCAGCTGCTCAATGCGCTTCTTCTGCCGCACAGAGTCTTCCGCTGTGTAATTGTGGTCACAGGAGACAAATATTGTGTCGCCCTGGGTGTCAGGCAAGCTCCTCCCGGACTCTGACTCCTCCATCTCCTCCAAGGCTGGATCAGAGGCGAGAGGTAGAGAGAGTGGGAAGTGGATCTCTGAGGGGAAGGGATCTTCCAGAGACTCTGACTGTCAGACAGAAAACACACCACATAATATAGTTAAAGTTCCAGAAAGTCTGACTCCCCAAGAATAAATTCCAGAAGCTTTCCCAGGAGTAACAGTTCCTTCAGCACACTGTGATATGATATGCAAATTAGTCTGATGAAGTATCAAAGGCGTAGCAGTTGCCTTTCACATTTGCATAAAAATGGACAACAAAACAAAGAATTCTGTTTTCTTACTGCATCACTAGCTAGTGATTGCTCAACTGATTAATCAGGCATTTTTAGATAATCAGGATCGATGGCTGCGCTCACAATGATGATTGGGCATTAGATGAAAACAGAGCTGCTTCACCTTGATGCTGAGATTGAAGGTGAAAAGTGATGGCACGGCGTTCTCCTTCAGCACTCGGTTGTTGCACTCTCTCTTGAAACAGTCCTTGGTGAAGTGCTGCGAGCAGATGTTGCTGTACTTTGTCGGCTTGAAGTTATTCCTCCTCATCGCTGCCACCCATTTCCCACAAACATCTGGACGCGCTAGAGGAAACCTGCACATATCAATTGACAATTAGACATAAACTGAATGTATAGTTAAGCTGTCTCAGAATGTTTTCCTTTTGCAGGATTTATTTTATCAGTGGGATATTAATTTCTCTCCTAAGATTACTATCGATAATTACTTTATATAGAAAGTAAACTTTATGCTAAAATTGTTAGCTACAACTTAGTCCTGTCAGACCTCCTCTCCTGGTAAACATTCATCTAATATTCTATACAGAGCTCTGTTCAATAAAACACTTACTTTTTTACATTAACCCATTAGCGCTCCACTGACAGTCAGTGCTTTACTCAACCTACTGGACTTAACAGGGAATTGAACCTCTCTTCCAAATTGCAGTAGATTTAAGTCTGGTTTAATTGCTCTCCACGTGTTTATCCTGTTCAAGAAAAGGAGCCACTGGGCTAATATTAGCATGCCAGCCAACAAGCGCCAGTACATGAAGGACCGTGAAGGAACCCCAATCAGAATGAACTGAGTTTAAAATTATCTTATTACTGGGTAAGAAAAACATTTAGCCAGAATAAAAGATAAGTGATTTCACGAACCCTTGGTATGTCCTGGTAAATTCGGCATTGTAGAAATTTCCGAAACAAAAATTTTTGTGATATTTAATGACTTCTAAACTTGAGTGTTTAGGTAGGGCCACCATAACCACAACGTAGGTTAATTTGTTCCATTAGTAAAGGGTGACTATGCGATTGGCGGGCGAACTTGATAAAGGACTTTCAATTTATCTCAGAAAAGTAGTACTTTATAAGTTTTCTGTAACCCGATTTTACCAATAGGATCTACAGTCATAAGAAATACTTTGTGTCAACTTCTACCGTCCATGTACTGTTTACGATGAGCAATGACGCTTCAAACCATAGTTTGGTAAACGCAGGCTTGTGAACTCTTTTTTTGACACTATTCACCAGTACAATAGGGCTTATCCACCGCGTCTGGACAGCTAATGCCATATAGCTCTCACTCATAGTTTGAATAAACTTACTTGTGGAAAGAGATATCTTTGTCTTTGTGGTAGCGGTTCTTACATCCGTAAGCTGAACACGTCTGAACCATAGCTGCTGCCCGAACAATATTCAGTCGTTAACACTCCACGAAGCTCCGCAGGCAATCCACTCTACCCTCTGCGAGGCTTCACTGCCAGTAACGATGATGGCGGCGGAGATAGAGTCACATGACCTGCGTTTTCGGATTCTGATTGGCAGAAGCTTCCCACAGAGTCCCTTGGCTTCTCGTCCTTGCCATATCCTCCAAAAAGGCAGACATCATTTGCCTCACATTTGTCCTTTGATAATTTCCAAAGCTCCTTTGGTTTTAACATTGTCAAGATTAAACTTGATTAAAAGTTACTGAAATATTGATACGCAACATGAACATTACTTGGATCCTTTCTACAGACAAAAAATGTAGTAGGCCTAATACATTTTTAAATACTTACCTGTACTCAAAGTAAATCAAAAAAATGTTAATTACAGATATTTATACTTGCCTTTGTTCCAAAGGCAACATTTTACATTTACAATTCAATGTGAGATTATTGTGGAATTATTGTGGAGATGCATAAATACATAAATGATGTTCATATTCATACACCAACCCTTTAGTTAATGGACCAACTTTTAAAAATTCTATTAGATATCTGTGTTTAACAATCTTTGTTTCTCCTCAGTATAGCCCTACTGTATTAATTAAATATATTTTATATGCCAAAGTTGTACTGATGTGTAAGCATAAATTTTCTGTGCTAACAACATAAAAAATTAAAACATTTTTAGCAATGTTGTTGTTTATTTGCAACCAATTTAACTGTTACTACAGACAGGCATGAAAACAAAAGTCAACAAATACAACATACATTTGCTTCAGTAAGTGTTCATTTTACACTTTGTTGTGGAATCAACTTCAAATGTATAAAATTACCATTTTTGCCCAGCAGTCAGCACTCAATAATCCATAATGCCAAAGTGAAAACATGTTTTCAGAAATTTTTGCACGGGTATTAAAATGCAAAAACTGAAACATTTCAAAAACAAAAGCATTCAGAGTCTTTGCTGTAGCTCCACACTGTGGTCAAGTGCAGCTTGGCTGCTTTAATTTTCCTTGAGACGTGTCTAGAACCTAGCTGGTGTACAATGTGGCAAACTGAACTGATTGGACATAGTTTAGAAAGGCACACACCTGTGTTTACAAGGTCCCACAATTTACACTGCATATCAGAACAAAAACCAATACATAAAGTCCAAGGAGCACTCTGTGAAATGTAGTTCCATGCTACTAAAATTACATTGTGATCATTTTCAACACCAATTCTTTTAGTCTAAAAGAAACTTTATTAATAAAACAGGTGTTTTTAGTGGGGCAGGCTGGTCTGAAGAGCATTATACAGCAACAAGAGAACAGAAATACATTAGTAAACAAGTAAATACACAGCACTGATATGTAACTATAGACATTTATCACCACATGTTGTTATTCACGTCGGCGCTAATGACTCCAGACTTCGCCAGTCGGAGGTCACTAAAATTAATGTTGATTCGGTGTGTAACTTTGCTAAAACAATGTCGGACTCCGTAGTTTTCTCTGGACCCCTACCCAATGTGACCAGTGATGACATGTTTAGCC